CCAACCAAAAATCCCCCCCCCCCCACAAAAAAAACTTTTTTTTATATATTTTTTTAAATTTCTCTTATCCTCCTTTTCTGTTTTTTATTTTTTATAATTTTAAGACCTTATCTGTTTCCAAAAAATATATATATGGGGTTGTAACCATTATTTAATTCAGGAAAAATGCGGCAAATTCACGTCCGCGGCGCGGACAAGGCCGTATATACGGCCGCCCTCCGAGATCGACCCCGCGGACGTGGACGCGGGTGTTTCGTAGGCAGGCAGCGTAGAGGCTTCAGGGGGTGGAGTAGTCGCTGCCTCAGTACAAAAAGGTAAGGCGATCGGTAGACGTCGTGGAGGCTCCCGGTCTAGGAGTCAAGTTGACCGTAACGCTCCTCCATGGGAGAAAGCGGGTCTCACTACGGACGTGTGGAGAGACCGGTACACCCAGCAGACTTGTTGTATTCATAGTGGTCAATATGGCCATAATCAATTCAAGTGCCGTAATAAAAAGGTGACCGAGAAGATCCCACCTACGATTGGACAGGCGTTGAGATCCTCCGCTCCCGTTGGTAGCAATGTGGCCAGCAGTTCTAGCACTGCTCCAGGAAACGCGTCGGGCCAGTGGGAATAGTAGTTGTTCCTGCTAGGGTCGAGGTGGTGGACACACCCTCACCATCTCAAGAGATGGCCCATGCTACTGACTCCGTTGTCGTCCTACAAACATATTCAGACCCATCGAGTCTCTGTTCTGTGAATGTGTTCGAATCCTTAGAGGAGCTAGAGGAGGAGTGGTCCAAATCAGACCCGCTAGCTTCTTGGACGGCATTGGCTAAAACCCCTAGGAGTGAGATGTTCGTCGGCGAGGTAGTCATCGACGACCGCAAGGCCGGGGCCTATTATGCCATTTGCTCGACGCAAAATTTTATCCATCGCTCATGCCTCGAGAGGCTGTGCTTATAGGGGCAAGTGCAACGCCTGAGTCAACCTGTGGAGTCAACCTGTGCCAACAAACAGCGCATGGTAGTCAATGACTACCTCAAAGATATTGAGTGTTTATTCCCGTACGCGGGAGGGGAATTGAGACATTGCGTCTCGTTCCTAGTCAGCGATGATCTTCCAATGGATATCCTTTTGGGTATGTACTATATTTTGGTTGCACAGCCCCAATTTGACTGGGACGGAAAAGTGGTCAAGCACACTTTGTCAGGAAGGGTGACCTACAAATTACGTAAGTTTAAGGCTAGTAGTCTGATCAAGTCCTACGGATGCATGTGTGCAGCCGTGTTCGATAATTATTATAAGCAAAATTTGGGGGAGGGTATGTATCTAGTTTATGTCTCTGCAGCAGTCGAGCCGGTGAAAATGCCGCCGGAGATAGAGGGAGTTGTCGCTAAGTACCCTGATCTATTCGAAGAGCCGAAAGGGGTTGTCGAGAGAGAGGTCGTCCATGTGATAGAGATTATCCCAAGGTCTAGCATCCAGAAGGGTAGGATCTATCGGATGTCTCCAGGCGAGCTTGACGAGCTTTGCCGGAAGCTCAAGGAACTCGTAGAGAAGGGTTGGATCCAGCTGAGTGTCTCCCCTTATGGATTTCCAGTCTTATTTGTACCAAAAAAGGGGGAACTTTGAGAATGCGCATTGACTATAGGGGCCTCAATGCCATCACTTTCAAGAACCAAGAGCCCCTACCACGCATCGACGACTTGCTGGACCGCGTGCAAGGGTGTCGGTACTTCAGTAAAATAGATCTGAAGTCCGGGTACCATCAGATCACAATACGGCATGAGGATCAACACCAAACTGTTTTTTAGACCAGATACGGTCTGTACGAGTTTATGGTGATGCCTTTCGGCGTTTACAATGCTCCTGGCACTTTTTTTTTTTTTTTTTTTTTTTTCAGCACGCAATGAATCGGATCTTTCACGAGTACTTGGATAAGTTTGTCATCGTGTACCTTGATGACATACTTATTTTCAGTAGGGTTGTCGAGGAGCATGTCGGCCATTTAGACAAAGTCCTTAGTCTCTTTCGACAACACAAGTTCAAGATCAACGGCGAGAAGTGCGAATTTGGCCGCACCCATATCCTGTATTTGGGTCATGAGATTTCCATAGAGGGATTGAAGCCCGATGACGCAAAGGTGGCCAACATTCGTGACTCGCCTCGTCTTCAGTCTGTGACTGAGATGAGGTCCTTCTTAGGGATGACCGGCTACTATCACAACTTTGTGAAAAACTATAGCATAGTGGTCGCACCTTTGATGGACCTAACCCGCCTTGACATCCCATAGGAGTGGACAAACAAGTGTGAGGATGCTTTCAGACATCTGAAGCATGCTCTGACACACTATGAGGCCTTGAAACTTCCTAATCATGACAAGTCGTTTATAGTGACCACGGATTCTAGCCAATATGGAATAGGTGCCGTGCTCGCGCAGCAAGAGGGGCCAAAGTTGAGGTCAGTGAAGTACATATCCAAAAAGATGCCCTCTCAGGAGTTGGCTAAGTCCACCTGTGAGAAGGAGTTGTACCAACCTGTACGTGATCTACAAAGTGGTAACCCATTGGAGACACTACCTCCTTGGGCGGTTCTTCTACGTCAGGACCGATCATCAGACCTTGAAGTGGATGAGAACACAGCCCGTGCTCTTTGATGTGTTGAAATGTTGGATCGAAGTCATTGAGCAGTATGACTTCGAGCCCGAGTATCTCAAAGGTGAGTACAACAAAGTTGTTGATGCGTTGTCGCGTAGGCCAGATTTCTCCTGTGCGCTGATCACTGAGTTTGGGCTTGCGGACGATGTTAGTCGTTCTTTGGTGGAAGCCTATCACGAGGATTTGTTTATGGACGAGATCATATGGAGACTCGAGGCGAAGGACAAAGCGACTTCAACCAAGTTTGAGTTGGTCAACGGTCTGTTGTTCCTTGACAAGGACGGGAATAAACGTTTGTGTGTGCAAAACCAACTTGCCGCAGCAGTTCTGGTGGCCCACAATGATGAGAGACGCCAAGCTGTACGTGGAGGCCTGTCAGGTATGTCAGAGAGACAAGCCACGTACACAGGCCCCTCTTGGGCTTTTCAAGCCCCTTCCGATACCAGAAACGCTCGGTGAGACCCTTTTCATGGACTTCATGGACACACGGGTCACCAGCAAGAGTGGAATGTGCTATGTCTATGTCATTGTGGATAGGCTTAGTAAGTATGCTAGGTTAGTCGCTATGCCTGCAACGGTTAAAACGGAGTATGTGATTAGACTGTTCAAGGAAAACTGGGTCAGGGACATTGGGCTTCCTAAGTCTTTTGTTAGTGACAAGGATGCCAGATTCACAAGTGAGTTGTGAAAGGCTGTAGCTGCAGAACAGGGTACAAAACTGCAGCTGACCTCCAGGAACCACCCAGAGGCAAATGGCCAAGTAGAGCAACTGAACCGCATTGTACAACACCTGTTGCGACACTACATCAAGCCCAATCAGGTGGATTGTGATGAGAAACTTGCTCTCATCGCCAGCCTGTACAACAACGATGTGCACAACCGCCAGAGCGCCACTGGGGTGAGCCCTAACAGTTTGTTACTGACTTTCAAGCCTAGATTACCCCTGGACTTCCTCTTACCTGAGAACCAGCCGACTGCTGCACCTGGTACACTAGAGTTTGCCTATCGATATGAACAATTGATGCAGCAGGCGATAAAACAGATGCACAGGGCACAGGGAGCGATGATAGATTATGAGAATAAGCACCACCGCCCATCAACATTCCAGGTAGGGGACAGAGTCTAGGTTAAGTCCTTAGAACTGGGTCAGGAGCACGGGATCTCCCGCAAGCTCATGCCACAACACTTTGGACCTTGAGAGGTTCTAGATATCATTAGGGATGATCCGGATGGGCCTTCATAGCGTGTTACCGTCTGTTCATTGAACGCGAGTTTCACGTTCAGGTTTTGAACGGCGGTGAACGCGGTGAACGCGCGTTCACCGAATGCAAGTAAACGCGTTTGACGTGTTTGCGCAGGTGGGGTTTGGCGCAGGGGGGTGGGCTGGGGGCTGCATGTATGTGTGTGTGTGTGTGTGTGTGTGTGTGTGTG